AATTTGAGCTCGAGTCCGAGGATGATACCGATGCAGTCGCTCAACCGGAAACTCCATCGCAAGCATGACTTGATCAGGGCGTTTCTAGCGGAAGTGTTTGTGATACAATTTTTGTCTTGGAATACGCTTGTCGGTTCACAATGAGTTCACAGTTTTAATGTTTATGTTTCCTTTAATTTATTTTTAAGATCTGAAGTAAAATATCCATTGTTGCTTTCAGTAAGGCTATAAAGGTGACGCAAACTAACATTAAATAAGCACATAATCAGAACCTGAGATTATTATTGTCATAGTTTGTGTGGTGTTGTTCTAGCCACGACGTCACAGGAATACGTCAAAAAGGTCATTTTTGAGCGAGATGCTAATGGTCTAATCAGATTCAATGACCCACTGTATGTTTAATGGCAGGCTCCACTGCGACAACTTACACCATATAGTGTGACAACATGACCTGAGCCATGTTATCCAAAATGTCAACGTGTGTTTAATTAACTGTATGTCCTTTTTTTCAAAGGGCACACAGAAATAAATCCACCCTGAGAAATACAGACAGCCGTAAACACTGCTGTGACAACTAGCCCCGGTCTCCCTTACAAGTGTGCGAACACACCGTATAATGTATTATTGACAGAATTAGATTATATATTGTCCTCTCACCTTATACTGTACAAAACATTCCCGTTTTTGGAGATCCTCAAAAGCTTGTTGTCAGTAGTAACCTCGTGGAAATTGGCTCCCTTTTCATTGGCAAAGAACAGATCAGGTTTCCAAATGGAGTCCAACATGGAGGGATCAAGGTCAAGGGAGTCATCGGGATACTCGCTGTAGGCCAGCCGTGGGTCGTTCCACTGCTGTCTCAGGAAAATGTTCACTCTGTAATCCTGTTTGACAGACTATTTCTATGGTGTCTTTTGTCAGCTTGTGGTCACTATGAATTGTTATTATCATGGAAATAACAGCATACAGGACTGGACCAACATGAATATAAGCAAATAATGTCATTTGTAATTTGTCATTTTTGGGTGGCTATCTCTTTAAGAAATGCACCCAAACTGTATTAAATCTATGATTATTAACTCTGTCTCAAACGATCCTAAAGCTAGATAAAGAAACAGCCCTGAGCTGAGCTCTGTTTTGAAACTCACTCTGTAATCATGTCACTATCACGGGATAGTGGTTATTTACCTGAAATGTTCAATTTAACTGTGCGCTGTGGCTGGTGCAATCTAGAGGGAGTTCGCAGCTAAGACCAAACTGATCTGAAAGGTTCATTTGATAGTGTCAAGTTAAGAGATGAGGCTTCCCAATCCACACGGCTATTCACTACAAGCCCAGTCCTTTTTAATTCTACAATGATAAGACATAGAATTTAGAAATTGGAAACATGCTTAGAAGGATACTCATAATCTTTTTGCTTTAAGCCTTTTAATTTCTTAATAATAAAATACTTTTAAATGATACCACACAATTAAGCAAACATGCTGTGCAGTTTAAACTGTGTATGATTTCAACAAGATTCAGAACCGTTCAAAAGTCTGGGGTCAGCAAGTCTCTTACGCTCACAAAGGCTGCGTTTATTTGATTAAAAATAGTTAGAACAGTAATAATTTGAAATATTATTTCTTTTTAAAATTGTTTTGTTTTAAAATGTAATTTATTCCTTTGATGCAAAGCTGAATTTTCAGCATCATTACTCCAGTTTTCAGTGTCACAAGATCCTTCAGAAATAATTCTAATATGCTGATTTGCTGCTCTCAGGAAAATGTTCACTCTGTAATCCTGTTGGGCGCACAAAGACAGCCATGTCAACAGATTAGAGGTGAGGAAGCAAGCACATTTAATCAGCTTCAGGAACCTGTGAAGCTCCACAAGAACATGCTTATTTTTTTTTTGCTACTATGTCTAATATTAGTCTAAGTAAATTTGGTGTCCTCTCAGTATACATTTTGCTTGAGATAATTGTTATCCATGCAGGCAGACAGGTGAGATGGCCAGTGTTTAAAAGCAGACACCGTAAAGCAGTGGCATTTCGCCCCAACACGCTGCCATAATTGTCCATTCTTCTCCAAAACAGGCATGCGGTCATATCATTTCAGGGAGACCATTAAACTGTCTGGGCACTAATGTACCTTGGGATGATCGGCACGGCACAAAATTTAGTGGATGACCTTTGCAATGGCAATCAGCTTCAACATGCAAGGACATTTCAGGGCAATTATCCTAATGTAAGGTGACCCAAGACTTTCGAAATATTTTGATGGAGGAGAATCATCTGTCTCAGGCTATTAGATTTGCCTCTCGGAGAGCGCAGCCACCATAGCACGGGAAAAGAACAAGTTCCATCGATTTTACTATGTCAATATTTTTCCTTTATGATAAACAGCCCACGGATGCAAAATGAACCCTGCAAAAACAACAGAGCGATACATAGCGGCTTCATTACCGGTAGCAGGTGTATCTCAGGTGTTATGTAAACACATCTGTTCTCCTCAGCAAATGCACATTATACTAATTTAATGTCACGGAAATTCACGCATATATATAGCAAAATTAGTCAAACTTTTTGCTCTTGTCTACTGCAAATATCTGACATCCATTACTACAACCGAACAGGACGCCCGCAGTCGAACGCTTCAAACATACAGCAAGTTTCCGACAGAATGATTTTGCAAACAAGCGAGGAGTGGGCGCACATTCATCAGCTTTTTTTCTGATTTGATTTCTCTAGGCTAAGGAGAGTGATTTATGGCAACAACCCACTCATAATGCGATTCAAGCCCACTGATTTGCTGCTCAAGAAACTTTTCTGATTATTATCAGTGTTAAAAACAGTTGTGCTGCCTAATATTGTTCTGGAAACGGTGATACAGTTTTTTTCCCCCAGGATTCTTTGATGAATAGAAAGCATTTATTTGAAGTAGAAATCTTTTGTAACATTAAAAAAAGTCTTTACTGTCACCTGTGGATTAATTAAATTAATTAATTATATTAAATGAATGCATCCTTACTGAATAAAAGTAATAATTTCTTTAATAAAATGTAGCATATATAATGTAATGTACTTATATGATGGCACAGTTTTTTACGTTAAAAGAGACAAGCAAGTTGCTATATATTTTTTATAATTTTATATAATCTATTAACTACAATATTTGTTGGTTTTTGTATGTTACCTTTTACATTTTTGCTGATTAATAATGATTTTATTACATTTTTATTTCATTATATATATATTTTTTTACAAGCGAGGAGTGGGCGCACATTCATCAGCTTTTTTTCTGATTTGATTTCTCTAGGCTAAGGAGAGTGATTTATGGCAACAACCCACTCATAATGCGATTCAAGCCCAAGGCCAGATCCTATCCTGACTGTGACATTAGAAAAAGTTTGCACGACTCTCGCGCGCCCAACTCTGCTAACAAATGACGGACGTTGAAATGTACACGTTTGCTCTCGTGCTTCCTCAAGAAAATGAAAGAGCCGGCGAGCTAATTAAATAGCCACTCGCCTCTCCCGTGGGCCCCCCGTGCCTTACAAAAAAGGGTAAACAATTAGGACAGTGAAAGGCCGGGGGGAACGCCCGTCTCAGTAGTGGCCGGAGTCGCTCAGATCATTACTGGATGAAACATTGTTCTCGGCTGCCCTATAAGCGCTAAAGATTTATCGATACGGCTGTTTAAAGCAAGATGGATTCTGATTCGGTGTCAATGATTTTACTGTTCATCAGTTGAAAAAAAAAACATTCTGAAAGTGATTCCAACAATATTGTTTCTCTGTGTCGTTATTGTTACCCTAGTAAAAAAAAAAAAAAACGAAGCCATAATTTATTTAAAATACATTTATTTCATACTAAATATACTTCAAATCCATTAACATTTTTTCTCACATATCACTTAAGACTGATATTAAATTTCTGAGTACTTCTTTATTGCACAATGCACATTTCTTAATATTATGCCTAAAATGTGTTTTAATATCACTATTAATAAGGACTGTATGATCTTTGTATGATATCTTTAAATGCAAGATATTTAAAGTGTACACTGTAAAAAATAAGTGTAATTTTAACTGTAAAATTTTGTAAAAAACCTGAAGTATACTTGCAACAGTCAAAAATACTTCAGTATATCTTTAATTGGTCCTCAGCACTACTTTGCACAATTAAAGTGTATTAAGTACAAAATTTGTTGTTCCAATTCAGCAGACTTTAATTATACCAGTTTAGTATACCAAAAGTACAATTGAAGGGTATCTGTATTAAGCACATAAACACTTAAATGTATTTGTAGTATACTTGGCACAAAATAAATGTATTTAAAAATACATTTTACTATATTTTTTTCACTAGGGTATAGTGTGGAAATTCCTATTTTCACAGAATTAGAATGATTATTCAAACTTTATAGTTATCGCCCTTGTGAGTGGTACGGAGCCACAGACATGACATGCAGGAAAAAATATTCATGTTGTGGCCACAAATTAACAATTTGTGATTTACTAATTCGCTCCCTTGTTTTAAGTTAATCGTGAGCACGTTTTACTAATTTGTTAGCTCATTTTAGTGAAATCGTGGGTAAGTTTTACTAACGCCTGTCCGCAATTTCATAAACCCATTGTATTTTTTTGCGTAGTGAGAAAAGACCTCTATTGCTGCTGTTATGAATAAAGTATGACAGGACTGTAACAGAGATATAGCCTGCTCACATAGAGGGTGCAATAGGCTATTCACATATCATTCAACAGAACGTATTAGCAAATTGTGTGCACAATGCACTTCAAACGAGGTAACGAATTAGTAAATAGTGCTCAGGATTTACTTAAAAACAAGGTGATGAATTAGTAAGTCATGGGAACTAATTGTTAATTCGTAGCCACAATAAGTCTGTGTTAACCCTGTGGTCCAAAAGTCTGGGACTACAGTTAAAATCTGGATTCAAAATATAATAAAAAAAAAAAAAAAAAAGAACAAATGAAAATTAAGCTAATAATTTGTATTAACAAAAAAAAAAAGAAAAATGAGAAAAAGAAAAATAGAATCACAAAAAATTTTAGGGTTGCATCACTTTAATCAATATACTCACCATTGTTGTTTCAGCAATGGATCCAAAACTGTTAATAAAAATGTTGCATGTTACGTTCACAGGTGGACCTGTGGGAGAAGACAAAGGATAGAAAAACAACAAATAAGTTAACTGATACTGATAAAATTAAACAAGTTATCCTCTAAATTTTAATCTTACCAAAACATATTCTTTATTAAGAAATAATAACCAAAACTTACCTGCTTACTGCTAAATAAGCACATTGCCATTGACATAAAGCATGTAAATCTTATTTTTAAGATATATGCATCATCTTAGCATATAAAACAACTCCATTAAAATATGGAGTAAAATGATTTATACAGGATGTTGAGGTGAGCCTTCTGTAAAGACAAAGACCGTCGGTTTTATTATTGGGACAAGGCAAGCCACTGTTCCTCCCATTTCTGTTTTAGAAATATTATAAGTAAATCTCTTATGCTGGTGCACAAATGAAAGCCTGCAGTCATAGAGAGGCTAAACAGAAACCATACATCTGCTGTTAAAAAGAACCAAGCGATCCATCGCATATGGCTCTGTAAACACAGAAAGGGGGATATTCTGAGTGACACGGCGCTCATGGCCTCGTAAAGACCCTGTCAGGCTTCTCCAGACTTCTGATTTAGTTAGATCCAGAGCTGCTGAACAGCATGGAGAAACCCTGAACCCCATTTCTCTGCCTGCTGACAAGCCACACGCAGCATCCTAAGGTGCTGAATGAGTAGATTACTGCAAAGAAACATATTGCAATCTGCGAAGTCTGGCAAAATTTATTAGTCATTCTATAAAGGCTGCAAATTTCTCCTGAAGTGTAACCCCAAGAAAACCATTACCTTGAAATAAATCCACCTTACATGTATGATTTGACAAAATTGTACAGCATATAGCGTTGTGCCATCAGAAATGTTTTAATTGAGAAATAGTCCTTAGGGTAGCGCCATATATAATTTTTTTGACAGGAATGAAAATGAGGCTATGAGGGATAGAAGTACATACTCCATAAAACAGTTGTGAAAAATGAGAGTTGTGAAAATGACATGATCTAGGACTTTCATACAGTGTGTGAAATTGTAAAGACTGTAATCCAACCCTTCACTGCATAGTTTTCATCCGCGTTGAATTCAATACGGTGCCTAGCCTGACTAAGGGTTATATCTCCCTTACAAACATTAACCATGGTTTGATAGGACAAACATTTTATGGTCCCACGCCTTCCACAGATGATAGAAATACATATATACCATATGGACTTTCAACCAGCATAACATAAAAATTATTTTGAACCAAATAACCTACTCTGACTTTAAATGAGAATTCAGCTGCCTATACTCTTTAAAATAAAGGGCTTGTGTTTGTTTTTTTTGTTTTTGCAGCGAATGCCATAGAAGAACACTTTCAGTGAACAGTTCTTAGGCTGATGATACACGGGGCAACTTTTTGAGCAATGTCGCCGGGCAACTTTGGACAATATTGCCGCCAAGGGGCAACCAGATGAGACACAGGGCCACCGACCGATCTAATAGACACTTGTTATCCATTCTCAATGGGAAAGTGCCCAAGCAACATTGCTCAAAAAAGTCTCCCCGTGTATCATCAGCCTTAAAAGAGCCTCTTTCTACTAAAAAACCTGGAAATGTTCTATGGATGTTAAAGGTTCTTCATGGAACCATAGATTCCAATAAAGAACCTTTATTTTTAAGAGTGTGTCTATTGAACCAGCCTTTGCAGGCAACTAACTAGGTTTGGAACTGGCTCAAACTGTAGCACATTATCTGGCAGTTCCTGTTTGAGCCTCTATACAATGTCAGACCCCATAGTTCCTTGCTCTTGGCTTTTTTCTTCCACTGGGTATCATACCGGCTGTAATCATTTGTCTGTTCTTGGCTTTCCTTGCCGTATGTGACGCAGCGCAGAGGAAATCTAATGTCCTCACCCCCACTGCAGTTCATTTGTGAGCCCAGCCTCCAATAAGTAGAGAAGCGAGAGAAAGACAGAGCTCATTAACTGTCAGGAAAGGGTGAGTCATCGCCAAGAATGACATGTCTTTGCCAAACAATCTCGCCCTGCTCTCCTAAGAGCAGCTCACTGCAGAGGGAAGCAACCGCCAGCGAAGGGACGTTCGGGTTACTTATAAATTTTTTACTCAGTTGTCTTTCCCATCGAATCAGTCCTTAATTTCTGAGCCGTGCCTCCGTCCTCGTCTCGTAGAGGTGATGGTAGTTTAGAAGCCTCACACCTTTCACTGCACTTCTCTTTATTCAACAGACACAAGCAGGATACGCGAGTCGCAAAGATCAGCCTGGTCTTTCCCAGAGACCAGCTCATGAGAGAAAGTAAGGGAAGAGCG